GCTGGGGGCGGGGCCCAGCCTGGGGCGCCCTGGGAAGGGGGTTGAACTTGGCGCGGAGGCGGGGCGGGGGAAAGGCGGGTAGGCGCCTGGTGAGGTGGGCGCCCCGGAGGGACCGCCGTGATGCGCGGGACTTAGCCTCTTGCTCGGGAATGGGGACGGTGCCGGGGGGAAGGCGGAATGCCGCGGAATTGGCCCTGGCACCTCTTCTCCTCCAACAGAGCACAAGGGACCGGTTCAGGTGACCCAGGTGGAGGAAGACAAGGTGATGGTGTTGATGGACGGTAAGGACGGTCCTCTCTCTCTTTCCCCGCACTGTTCCCGCTCTCCAGACCCTGTGCCTCAGAAGCGCTGAGTCTCTCCAGGCCTTGCCCCCCGTCCTGCTTTGCTTCTCACACTGAATTTCCTGTTCGGTTCCTGGGTAACGGTGACTAACCTTCTAAGACCTCTCTTAGAGCCCTCTCTTTACCCTCTTCTAGGGTCCCTGAAGCTGGTGACTCCAGAGGGGGCCCCAGTCAGGGGACTTCGAACTCCAGAGATCCCCATGACGGAAGCTGTGGAAGCTGTGGGTACGTGCAGGGGTGGGAGGGCCCGGGGTACAGAGAGGAGGCTCAGGTGATACCCAAGGGTAACAGGCGCTGCTTTCTTCCCAGCTATGGTCGGAGGGCGGCTCCAGGCCTTCTGGAAGCATGGAGTGCAGGTGTGGGCTCTCGGCTCTGACCAGGTAAGCCCCTCCATCCCAAGCCTACAACCTGCCCCTCCCACCTCGGTCATCTCACGCATGAGAGAGACCAGGAGAACAGGGCGTGAAGTCCTGGAGGACTGGTTCAGACTGGTTCCTGTTCTACTCCAGAGTCTGGGGTCCAGAGCTCATCCCAGGCCATGTGTGAACTTGTGCAAAAGACTTTGCTTCCTTCTGAGCCTCAGTCTCCCAACTATAAAATAGGAGTCACTACAGAGATATATGGGTGGTTAAGAGCGTGGACCAGGCTGCCTGGGTTGGAATCCAGCTGAGTCACCTTAGGGAAATGACTTAGCCTTCCTGCGCCTTACTTTCCTCATCTGGAAGATGGGGTGAAAATGGTGCTTAGCTCAAAGAACACTATGTGTCAGATCTGCCTTTACATGTTTGTATTTTATTTACTTTTCATGATCACCTATCAGGTAGGTACTGTAATTTCACAAGTTAGTAATCTGAGGTACAGAGAGGTTAAGTAACTTGTTTGAGTCACACAGCTGGTGAGTGGTATTAGCAAGAATGATTATTTATGAATCTAAGGCTGGGAGTTCAGAGAACTCCCCCCACTCCTTTCTCTTTAAGGGAGACGGGGAGTATTCTAGATACTGACACACACATCTTCTCCCCCAGCTGCTTCAGGAGCTGAGAGACCCCACCCTCACTTTCCGTCTGCTTGGCTCCCCCAGGTATGGACTTGGGAAAGGGGATAGAGGATCTGGGAGGGGAGCTTCTGATGTGGAGAGGGCATCCTGAGGCGTTCCCAGCCACCTGAATCTTTGGTCTGGACATTCTCTAACCTGGTCTCCCTGTTTCCATCTCTGCCCCCTATCATCCATTTACTACACACCCGTACACCGTTTCCCTAGATGTTAACTTTTAAAAACCCTGTTTGCTTTAGCTTTCTCATATATATTTTTTTCCTGACTATGTGGGTGTAAATTACAGACATGATGCCTATTTTTTGAGAGAGAGGAAGAGAGAGACAGAGAAAGAAATATCGACTTGTTGTTCCACTTATTTATGCATTCATTGGTTGCTTCTTGTAATGTGCCCTGACCAGAGATTGAACCCAAAACCTTGGCGTATCAAGGCGACGCTCTAACCAACTGAGCTACCCCTCTAGGGCTATAGATGATTTTTGCCTGAATCTATAATTAGGATGGTTACTAAATGGGGATTTTTCTATTTCTATCATTCCTTCTACATTTATTTATTAAAATATTTTTTACTGATTTTTAGAGAGAGGAAGAGAGAGAGAAAAACAGATGTGAGAGTGATACATGGATCCACTGCCTCCTACACGCCCCCTACCAGGAATTGAGCCCAAAACCGGGCATGTGCCTTGACTGGGCATCTAACTGGCAACTTTTCGGTGCATGGGATGACACCCAACCAACTGAGCCACTGTCCAGGGCATTCCTTCTACATTTATTAGTTGGCATTCTACTGTAGGGAAAAGCTGTCCCTTCTCCACCATTTATGTGTGTGTGTGTGTGTGTGTGTGTGTATTTCAACATAGTCTCATAGATTTCCATTTTATTCTATGGGTTATATATAATCTATTACTATATTTATTTTGAGGCTCAAATACTCCCATACTTAACCAGTAAGAGCCCCTTCAAGGATCTTCTGTGACCTTTTGACATGCCAGGGGGTCTTTTAAATTCCAAATCTGAATTTGTCCCTCCCCTTGTTTAAAACTCTCCTGTGGCTTCGACATAAATACCCAATTCTGTCCACAGCCTACAAGACCATGACTTCTGCAGCCATGCCCCAGCCTCTCTCCCACCTCAAGGCCTTTGCACAGGCTGTTCTCTCTGCCCAGAACACTCTCCCCTGTCCTTTCACCAAGTTCCCTCCTGAGCCTTTTCAGGCTCCACCATCCATTCTTTGGAGGCACCTTGGCTGACCCCCCTGGAGCTAGGTGTCCCTGCTGTGTGCCCAGTGCTTCTTTGCACTATGTAATTCACTGATTCACGTTGGTCTCCTGCTCTAGATTGAGTTCAGGGACCATGTCTGCTCTTTTACGGCTACAGCCTAGCATCATGCAGGCACAATCTCTATTAATTCCTTTGTGAATGAATGAATGAATGGATGAATGAAATGCCTGAACTGACTTCTCTCTTCCTTCCTCAGGCCTGTGGTGGTGGAGACACGCCCAGCAGATGATCCTACTGCTCCCAGTAACCTCTATATCCAGGAATGAGTCCCTG